CCTATTTCCTCCGAATTGAACTGTAAGATACGAAACACACATGCACTCACACAATCCACTTCACCTTTCCTGCCACCTTCCATTATTCCATGGAAACTAGAGGATACTCAGCTTGCAACTTAATAGTATTTTATGCAAAGAAAAGTGCATTCAATTGTCCACAGGTATGGAAATTAAAATAAGTGTTGTTCTAGATGTAACTTCAACTAGTATACAGAATTTCATAAAAATATTGAAATTTCTTTTCTAATGTTCCTCATATTTAATTAATAAACTAATATTACTATTTTGATTTCTTCTTTTCTTAGTCTTTATCTGCTTGACTTACATTCTGCGGTATCTTTTGGGTTAAATATTATAAAAATATTCTCATTTAATTATCTTTAGTTAAGTCGCGTTTATTTTGTCTTAATTAAGTAATGCAAGCAATGTGATAGTGAGGTGAACCATTGTCATTCTTGTCAGGTTATTTTTTCTTTGTTTATTTGTTGGCTTGTCATGTTGAAATATTTGCGTTTGTTTTTCTCTTTCAAGTCCATTTCATACTCAGTTGAGTGTGTAATTTTTACTCACTAAGCATTCAATGCATTCCAGTCAGTCTAATTAGTCTTTTAGTAAGCCAGAATGTAAGATTGCCTACGCCAATTCACAAATTTTATGAAAAATGAAAGTCACTCAACTGAAGGTAATTAAATGAGAATATTATTATAATATATAACACAGAAGATACCGCATAATACAGGTGAAGAGGATAAAGGTAAAGAAAGGAAGAAAAAGAAGAATGAGAAAAAACCGTACTTGTAGTAGTAGTAGTAGTCTCACAGTGTTATACAGTAATATTTACTGATAAATATTACTGTGTAACACTGTGAGACTCTATCAAAATAAAATTTACCCATAATGGAATTACACTCTACCACAGTGCCCAAGTTTTATTCTTATATCAATAGTAGAAGTATTGTTAGTTTGTTAATAAACCATGAAAAATATTAGAAAATAAATGCCACTGCTTTTATGAAGTTACAAGTAGAATGGTGCGTGATTTATTTTGAAACCTGCGTACATTAGAATGCACTTTTCTTCCCACAAAATGCTATCAGGTTCCAAGCTGAATATCCCTTGATTCCGATGGAATATTGGAAGGTGGCAGGTAGGTGAATCGGATTGTGTGGGTGATTGTATGTTTCAGATTGAGTCAATCGGACAGTCTATCAAGATGAATTAACTTTGAACTTCAATGAAAACTTCTCTTTCAGTTGACGTTATATATGCAGCTGGCATCGCGGAAGATATTTCACTATTTCTAAAATGTTCACTCAAACCTTATTTAACACAGAATGTACAAGCTCCTCAACAGTCTTTTACATTTAAAAGTGTTGAAGGAAACTCGAAAATGAAGTTCAACACCTCAGAGTATATAATGAACATTTTTCTCCAATTTTCGATGGAATAAGCTACTCAATAAATTCAGTGACCACTATGAAAATGATTTGTTCATTCCCGTTAGAAGTGGAGTGATTCTGGTTTAATTTCATCAAAGCGATAAACAATCAGCGGAATGCTTCATTTCATTTGTGAATGAGAGCTGACTGTTCACTTGATTGTATCGGCTCAGGTTCTCATTAAGTGTAAAATGCATATATCGACAACTATAGCTGGTCATATGACCTCATAATACGTTGGAACATGACATAAAGAATTACATTTATAGATACTATTATAAAACATGAAAATATAAACGTATTCTTTATGAATCCACCATGATACCTGCTATTTCATGAGAAATCTTTCCCCATACACCATCCTGAAACCACACTGACTTTGCAATTCAGAAGCATCACCTAATAAGCAAGTTTTCATCTTGGTTTCATTTTCCTATGATTGTTCAGCCTGCCACTCATGAAACTTTATCACTTATCGTAACAGTGACTCATCTTATAGGTCTTTATAAATAGTTCCAACCGCAGTGCGATCAAAATGTCGTATATGTAACACTACGTCGGCCTTATTATTAAGGGCTGGAATCACACCGTTCAAAATAGCATAGATTATACTTCCAAATAATTAATTTGTTTTTAATTTAAGGGGCAACAACGCTGTAATCGACGAACATGTTTTCCTAATCCAAACAATGTTTTATCCTGTGATTGTTAATCCCTCCATCATCATGATTAAAATATGTAATATGATGTGCTGATCTCCGGTTAACTGAAATTTGTCTGATAATTAGTGCGGAAATAAATTTCAGGGAGAATAACCGTTATTCGTCTGTTTACATTTGATTCACATGTCAATAACATGTCTACTTGCTTAACAGATTTAAAAATACATCCTGTTTCACTTCTGTTGGTTTACTGCAAATAATATGGTCACACAAGTAACAGACACCATTGCAGTTTAACAAGCATTATTGAAAAATTTCACTGTCTTTCTTTCATTCTCAAAATATGGAAATATCGGTAGTATAAACGTGATTACTTTATCCGTATTCAGATTTCAAATAAGTTTCATTTCTCACTTTCAAGTTAGCTAACTGATAGGTTGTGCGTTATTTAGTTTAAACTTTTTCAAGTGAACTATAATTTGTCTATTTCGTTTGAAGTGAAACCACCGAGGATGAATCACGTCACCTTTAGCGCCTTTTTTCTGCTCTTTTCAGAGGGAAATCACGCATCACTTTTTTTGCGTAATTTCGTAAATGGTGTTAATCAACACTGTTCAAGTTAGTCACTTTTTTTATGAATTCCGTCTACGTAACTGCTCATGCCTGTTTCATAATGAAGCGATAGACAATTTATGGATTGATATAGGCTTAGTCACTGCTCAACAGTTGTTTCACGTTTTACTGGGAGCTACAATAAGGTGAAAATGCAATGCTCATTTACTGTCAGTGGTATTCTCGAGTATTTATTTGAGAATGTTAAAGTCACCGTTTACCCAGATTGTTAATTTTCTTCCTATTTCCCTCTCGTCATTACTTCTTTTGTGTTAGAGTTATACTACTGAAAACTGAAAAGTAGTAAAACTTGATTTAGCTAATTCCTAACCATGAATTTAATTCCTATTGTAGTTTATCTCATTCGATGTATTAATAATCTATTAGATGTTATAATTATCTACCTAGAGTAAAACAATATTTGCTGTATATGCTTTATTCATGTACCCTTTACCGTTGAACATTTTAATCCGTATAGATATTTTGGAGAAGATTTGTAGCTCAGGTGGATGATTTTGATGTGGTTGTGTTCTCTGAGCTGGATAGTTTATTTGCCAAGCTTTCGTCGCTCTACTAGGCAACATCTTCAGCGCATACATCAATTTGAAGTGAGCTTTTAGATTTCCTCACGAATTTATCATTCATCTCTCCCGGTGACTTTGAATGTCGTGATTGGTTGTTTTTGTGTGTTTTCACACCTTTCACGCTACTTGCATTGGAGGTGATTGCTTCCTTTATCTGAACTTTGACCCTTTGTCTGTGTGAGGTTTCCTTCTTATCACACCACTCCGCTGCTTTTACTTATTGACGCACACTAACTATGGTTTTTGATGGTATTCACATAGAAACACTTCCGAATTTCACGTTTGTATACTATATTTCATTAGGTTTGTTTATTATATTTTATATATATTGTCTAATATAGTACCATCTTTTAGATAAATCCTGTGTTTCCGGATTTTACGCGTGACTTTGCTTGTGAATTTATCATTGTCCCATTACCGTCCCAAATTTCGTTTGGAAGAAATTCACATAGATAAATACAAAAAATTAGAATGTGTTATAGATTTAATTTTTCAGACAATGGTGACCGTAAAACATGCACAATTATCAGAAGTAATATTCATGTGAAGTTGATTATTCCTGAAATGTACCTGCACATAATCACGATTTCAGTTGACGAAATAGAATGTGAAACCATCATCAATAATCTACGGTGTCTGAGCCAGAAGTAGAAATAGTGTCACCAGATAAGGGTCTAAGGGGTAAACAAATTAGCTCATAAGCTGCTCGAATAAATATGTGAATAACACAGAGCACTCAAAGTTTATATGGAATTATTCAATTTTTCATAATGTTCGGCTTTACATTCCCTTGCTTACCTGCAACATGTGTCAAGGGTGTCATTGTACCTATTTAGGACGAGTAGAATTCCAAATATTGGTATTAATTTGTGAATTTTATGAAAATACTGGTGTTTAACACCCATTCCTTCTTCGATTTTGTGTTACAGTCCAGTATTGAAGGTGTCTATTCATGACTTTTCTACTAATAAGTCAGTTATATGTCATAAGTTAAATTAAACAAGGTGTTTAATTTAACTTTTCCATATATATTGATTTGACAAGTAAATGTGTGATCAGATTGTTCGAAATGTATAGCGCTAATACATCACATTTTTCAGATAATCTCCGTCTTCTAATGATGCTATCAAAATTTATAAAAGGGACTAACTGCTTTAAACTACTGATAAACTTCAAAACAACACCACTTCACAGTGAATGTTTTTGTCTAAGATCTTGGTGAGAAAATCATAGCTAAAAATATTTGCATGCATAGCGAATGGAATAAAGGAAAACTAGTTTTACTTGAGTCCCAGTCTTTGCCTTCATCTATCATATAGGAATAATCAACAGGAAGGCTCACAAATGTTCTGTCATGAGGATTGATTCTCTTCAATGGCGTTGGCAGTCAGTTGTACAGTGCCGCAAGTCAGAAGTTTAATTTCATTGATCTTGTTGTCAGAATGCTCTAACAGTCACTACAAAGAAGACAAAAACAAAAATCAATATCACTTGAGCTGGTAGCATAACTGATTGGTGTATTTTAATTTTTTAGATGAATTAGTGTTAAGGTCAAAGTAAAACAACTTCAACATTATTTATTAAACATTTTAATTTAACATTCATATGTAGAACTTTGAAGCAAAGCTTAAAGTACGAGGTGGATATATTTTTAATTAAGTGTAAATCTCGTATGTGACTCGCGCAACTATTAGTGATATATGCTGTTTCAACCACATGTAAGTAATTCTTTTCTTAAAAACTGCTGTTTACCAGAATCTATCCGCAAAATGGTCTTTAAGTGAGCGCAACAAGATGATCCACCTATTTGTTAAATACCTGCATATCAATCCACGTTTAATGTCGATGAATAAAAGTATTTGGAAATCAGCGTCTTAGATAACTTACACACGTTTCGCATAATATCCTCAGTTCATGGGAGCATTATATTCCCTCAGAATATCCTTTTCACTTATATGTGAATTTCCGGGGTAGAATTACTGTCTTAGGTAAAGAACTAATTTAAGCAAACTTTCTCATTTTGAGCAAGCTGAAGGAACACTGTCCCTACAGCATGTTATGTTCTTGTTTTGAAATAACTGCATTACTTAATTTGATTGGATACTAGCCAGTAACCAGTGTGATGTGTCTAGTCCTTCCTCTGATGCAGACTGAACTCTATCAGACAGTTTTGCAATGTGGCCACCGATCCACGTAACTCACTATGTCTGCAGCACTGGCTGACATGGGTTCGAATCTCAGCAGGGACAGGAGTTCATTCAAGGTTGCACATATACCTTGCTGAGGAGTGCCAACCAGCATGAAACCCTGGTCCGAGGTTTACTGCCAATTGTCTCCAACCACCTAATATCATTGAGTGCATTACTTATTCAATATTATATTTAATAAAATTATTCGCTCACTGATACCATAATATTCTCAGAAAATAGGGAACTTAAATTTCATCAACGAGAAATCAGACGAAGCAATCTATTGAAACATCAGAATTGGCGATGATGTGAGTTTTAATCAGAGGCTATCGAGTAAAGTATCCAAAATATCATTTCACCTGAAATTAACAATGGATTTGTTATTCTCCAGACTGACGGCCAAATTCCGATGGAACCGCAACACATTGTAGCAATCATTTGCATGTGAGTTTAACATTATGCTAGATTTGATGCAAAAACAGCACTAATGAGATCTGACAATAAGTATTTTGTTGTCAAGCAGGTACTACAAACTCAAAGAAATATTTTAATTATTCATAACTAAAATTAATCACGAAATAAGGTGGTGTGCAAAATTTAGTGGCGAACTAGTTTTCACATCAACTGAACATAAGCTGAAGGGTGTGTTGACTGATATCGCGAACCACCCGATTGGAACGCAAAAGGGGATCAGTGATTTAGGCTCTCCTAAGTGAGATAAATTAGGGTGTTTAAGGATGGACAGCGGTGGATCCATCTGAAACTGACTGCATAAAAGAGGTTTAAATAGTGATGTGCGATTGAATGCCTACGCTCCCTTCTGGACAAGAAAGAAAAATAGTTATAGTTGTTTAACCATTGAAAATCCTAATTCACTGATGGATCTATGTGGAAAATTGGCAAATCATATTGATATAGGTAGATTTCTAGCGTATTATTCTCACACCATTTTGAGGAAAACGTCACTGGCCCTCGTATTAAAAACATTTTTAGATGATTTATAACCCATAAACAGGAAACCTTGTTTCCGTCAGATGTTACATCACAATATGGACGAATAAACTGACAATCAAGACTTTCTCACCCAATGTATTAGGAAAATATAAATCGAAGAAAAACCCACACCCATCTATCTATCTGTGTGGTAGACCAATTCGATGAACTAGAACTAAGAGTAATGAATACGTCTATGGTATGAAATAATGTGATTACTGGCGATATAATACTTTCCATAATTCATACAGGGAATATTTGTAATTTCACCACGTGGTAGACCATACGAAAGTCTGACATGTAATCATAAAGTACTGCATATTTAAACAAACACCGACAAATACGTTTTGACCAAAAATTACTCTATGATTTCATATTTGAATTTTAGAGCACTTGTTCCCATCTTCAGTTTATTACTGTACTTCGTATTCAGAAGAAATTGGAAAATTGCGTGCATATTCCTTGGAATAGTTGTAAGTTATCTAAAATATGGAAATTATAGAATTATCCTGTTGATTTGTTAGCGTTTTATGTTTATTGCAGAGTTCATTAAATTAATAAATCTATTTGGTTTAGAAAAATATGTTGGAGTGAATCATTTTGAAAGAAGGTGTCCCAATTTTCTCTGAAATAATTCGTGGTAAACGTGACTTGAAGATTTCGGAGAGAGAGGCTAAGACATCAATAATCTAACGGCGATTACCTAATGAACAAGTTTCAATAAGTTCCTTAAGCTTACTTACAAAGTGAAAAATGAATTCCAAAATGAAAACCAAACACGTTCAAGGTCATGGTCAGTGAAAAATATTCTCTTGTGTAAGTGACAAAAACATTTTATCTCACGAAAATCATTTCTAATGGACTTCTGACTGCCTCTCTTCATACTGCAGATGAGATGGTCAGGAATTTTCAGTGCCAAGAAAGGCTGAACAAAATAATCAGGAAGCCTAACGCTCAACAAATAGGCTGAAGATAAACAACGAGCACCGTCTCTCTCAGTGAAACCCGTCTAGTAAATGACCATTTGTGTTTACGACAGTAACAATGAAGAGATCATCTGCATTCAGTCGTGGGTTTAGTTAACAATGGATGTAATAAGAGCAAAAGCTGGAGACGTTCTTTTGAAGTACTTTTTTCTACTCGGAATGCAAAGGAATGACCAAAATAATAATCATTCCGAAAATACCATTTCATTCCTCCCACGCTTCGACATTTCACTTTCGTGATTATCAAGAATGGAGGATGCTAGTTTGATTTCGGTTCATCTTGATGTCTAAACAAAATGTGAAAGTTTTTCATACCTTCATTGACTTAGTATCACTTCACCTAACCTGTCTGACCAATTTGAAGAACGAAACAATAAGTAAACGCGAACAAACTTGTGTTATTATTTAAAATTTTTACACACTGTACTGGTCGCACGATACACACACAAGTGGCGAGCAATGAAAAAACCTCAGTGATTACACCTGGCATTAAGACACAGGGTGAGACATTTCTGAAACTCTGATGTATCACCTTTCATTTTGACTTTGGAGATTTTCTATCCTGTAATGGTCTAGATATAGAAAGACGGATAGACGCTTTCGTGCCGATCTCAGACAATATGAAGTTCCACAGTAGGTTATAATTTCAACGCTCGCATTCTTCAGTTAATAAATACCAGTAGAAAGCAGCTGTAGTTATGTCAGTTCATCACTGTCAGTGAACATTTGGTGCTTATTATTCTAGAACTTAAGACAGAATAATTTGTGCCTTTTATTTAGGCATTTCCAATTTCTTTTTCTGACAGCTTTCACTATTGTCTGCATACATTTGTTTGACATTTTACGAAAATACCTACGATTTTTTCATAATTGTGATCACAATTCTGGAAGATATGTTGGCAATCATTTTCATTTACCTGACTAAGAAATTAAAAATGAATGATTATTCGTATTGTGGGTTTTATCATTGGAGTCTCGTTACTGCCACAGTTTTAGTTTTTGTACCATGTAAAGGGTGAGTGCATTGAAGTGTGCAATGAATTGTTTTAATACTCGGTTATAATTTCACATTGTTCTGATTACCATATTTTTAAACATCCAATTTAAAATGAGCGGAGGAGACAAATCAAGTCATCAAGCCAGTCATTTGCTTTATTATAGGAGTGGACAATTGTTGCGAAACTGAGACTACTCAGTGTTTAAGTTTATAGATATTCAACTTCCTTTTTGTTTTGTGGTGCAAGACTGATCGAAGAACGTAGATGACTATCATATAATGAAGATATTTGGAATCACCAGAATTTCAATTTTCGACCGAGAGGTGAAATCTTGACGTGACAATTTATGCGTTGTTGATGAGTATAGCTATGTCACTTTGTAAATTTATTTGGTGAAATCATACATGAATAATAATAATTTCTGATCACAATTTATGGCTCAAAATCTCAACATGGCAGTCACATAATTTCCAAATGGCGTTAATACCACTTTATCGTTTGTTGATCTCCGAATTAATTGGTAGTAGTAAATCTCTTATTGGCTAAAGCGTGATTTTTTTCGCAAGATTGAGCAGACATTCAGTGGCTGACCTCCTAAATGATATTTCTTCGGTTCCCATTCATTGAGGAATGTACCAGAATCGGATAAGTATGAACAGTATACTTGGTTCATTTATAATTGATATGAAACCATTGTGATAAGCATCCTGCAATCAAAATTATTCATTTTATTTTATAGGCTAAAGTCCTTGTGAGGTAAAATGCATAATCATTGCAGCAGGTCGCTTAGAACAAAGAAGCAAGTAGGCACTGCACAATCTGCATTAAGATAAGAAATATTATAAGGATAAGAAATTTCAGAAAGAGACCAGATACTGCACCACATGTTGCTTTACACAGATATTCAATAAAACCGAACGACATAACAGCAATAAGATAAGAAACAACATGATATCAGCAGCGTATTTTATCGAACAACTGAGAATATTTGTTCATGAAATGAACCCAAAACTGTTATCCACGTCTATATAATGTTACTACTCCCATCATATGTATGGAAAAATAATGCTTATTCCAATGGTAGTTACATGATTTCAAATGATTTTGTCATATTTCGACATCTTGTTGCTACCAAGACATTTTCGAATTTATGATCAACCATTTCCACAGTACTCCAATTAAAGCATCGAGATCTAAGAAGAAGGAAGCAACTCCAGTCAACAAGAAAACCGAAATATACAAATATCAAGTAACATTTCACTGGTATCTTTTACATCACTCCACTTTTCGGATATCATGCCGAATATTTCTTCATTTTCTGTGAGTCTTTCTTAGATTCGAGACATACTATTATTATAATCAGTATTTGCTTCGCAGCACTAAATTGACTACTCATTGGTGGTTATATAAAATATGCATTACAATTGAAAGTGACTCATTCTCTTGGATTGCCTTTAATTCTTTAAATGGTTCATAATTTGATTGTTTATCAGATTCAACTTTTATTTTTCAGGCTGTCTGCAAAGTACTGGCGGGTGCCTATTTCAACGCTGCTTTGTCTTTAGTAAGTTGAAGCTGCTGGTCTTATCTCAATAGCTCAAAGTAATATCACTTCAGTAAGAATTTTGACAATATTGAAAGCATGTCTCTTATCCAACGCATCGTTTATTTTATTCAGTGAAGTGTGCAGTCACATGTTAACAAAACAGAAAGTTAACGAAATGGTATGAAAGTAATTTTAATTCCTAACATTAATGTTTTCATGTTGTTCTTGTTTTGTTTTTTTCTAGATCATAGTAATTCTTGCAGACATGCTGAAATGAATATAGTGTCAGATGTCGATATGAAAAATAGGGATTTCGAAATTGTGAGCCAAATGCTTGATTACTGATGACTCATACACAGTTTTGTATATATGGATGGTTGAATATGAAATGATTCTCATTTGAAATTTGAAATAAAGAAAATATTTCCTTAATGTGACCCCAAATTGCATTTGCTTGCATCGTTTTTCCAAACGAATAAAATAAATCCTGAATCTTCATTCGAATGATCATTGTTGATTCCTAGAATCTGACGCCACAGATATTCCAACTCGGGCGATTTGATTTTGATGAACCGACATCAGTGAGTGATGCTCCCCGATGTGTGTGTTGCCACACAAGAAGCCGAAATCGCCAGTGCATTTCGAACGTCAGATCACATATCAGCTCATTATTGATTTTCTTATACTATCTGTATTATGTGCACTTTCTAAGCTTAAGGGTTCATATTTAAGCTCTTAACTGATAATTATTCACAAAATAAATTGATTGTTGCGGAATATATATAGGCACGCCTTTATCTGAGAACATTTGCCTTCAGTACTCAATTTCTCACGTAATATGTTTTGTCAGATCTGCGCAATTGTTAACAGCTTCATGAGGAATCAAAGTGGGCGTTTCTATGTTGTCCATTTAATTCTGTTATTACCGTAACGGCAGCAAAGATGTGATCATAAGGAGCAACAAGTTAGTGCCTTTGACTCACTAACTATGTACGCCTGAATTTTCGTTAGCATGGATGTTCTCAGCATGGCAACATCAAACTACTTAGGGAATAGATCTTCCCTGTGGTGTGATATTTTGTCTATGATAATGAGTAACTGATAATATATGAATCACTGACCGAAGCCTTAACCTGCAATTTTGACTTCAAGTATTACACTGCGTTGTCCGCTATAATGTGAGCATAGTAGTTCGGTGGAATCAACAGGACAGGACATATGATATCGGACATATAACAGCCATCATCATACACACTTTAAGACTATTCATGAGACAACTAGGTGAATGTTCCCACATCTGAACCTTATGTGATAATGATGCTTCCGGGAAAATGGGTTACAAGGTTTAGTCAGATCTTTAAGAGAAATAAATTCAAATAGAAACCTGTCCATCAAGGCTGACTGTAGTAAATAATGAATTCGAGTAATTGAAATACACAACTTTGGACGTAATCAGAACCACTTGCATCTTTATGAATTAGGCAAAGAAGCTTCAGCAGTAGTGAAACTCAGATCAACTCGTTCTTACCAATTGCTCGAAATATCAAATGTTATTTAAATTATGTCTATCAAAGTCCGTAAAAGGAGATGAGAGGAAAATGTTACTAACGATGGAAGATTATTAAGCTGTTACTGTCACTCGCGTGGATGCCGAAGTCAGACCAGTGTGATCATGTTTCATATGACAAGTCATATGTAAATCAGATGAATGCTTAACAAGCACACACACACAAAGTAGAACATAGCTATTTAAAAAGAAATTTAGTGAAACATCCGATTACCATTATCTTTTAACAAGCTTGTATAAAACCCTCGATTTCGTAGCGCTTGCTTCTTTTTGTCACTAAAGCTTTCTGGTATTAACTGTAAACTTGATAAACGAAGAAACAGGTAGTACATTAGTTTATTCAGTCGAGAATGTAGTTTCGGTTGAAGGTAGAGTGAAGAGATAAGAGTTAGAACTAGAATACTGTAGGGTAGGACAATTTAAGCAGCAAGAGTACGTTCATGTATAAAAGAAATATAAAATAGAAGAAGAATTAAAATAGACTAGTAGGGATAGGGGTATTAATATTAGGTAAAAATGAAGTATGTAAAATAAGTGAAGCAAAGAAGAATATTTTAAACATCAGAGCAGTCCATTGTAAGCAAACTACTGCTCGAAGGAGAGATAGGTAACAGAAAAGAAACTCGGTCCGCTCCTCCAGAAGTTATAACTTTTAACTCCAGAATGATTTTACCTTCAGAAATGAGGTCTGCTGCAGACAATAATCTTGACTTTTCCACTCCTTGAGGTATAAAAACTACCTTATTTGATCACAACTCACAATAGTATGAAAAGGAGAACAATCTTCTGTTCTCAGTTTTGCATAAAGCAGCATTCGAATAATCGTTTTTCCAACAGTCATTATAACCTACCAAAGTCTCTATTTCTAAAACGTTTGCATTACTCTCAGTCTTGTGTTCAAATTTCGCATATGGATTGTGTTAATATAACGAATGTACTTGTAAATACACCTATCGACTGACCAATAAGAATCATTAGCAGACACATAAATACCTGTATGCATATATCTCTGAAGAATTTTGATGGTATGATTTATTGAATAGCAGTTGATGTAATTAAACTAACCATAGTCACATTTGTACCATCACAGACGACGAAAGTAAGTAGTCACAAAATCTTTAGAAGATGCTTCGTTCTGATAACACTGCACAGACAGTGTATGCATCAATAAAGTCCTGCGAAAATTTAAGAAACTTCAATTGCTTTGATTGCACGTTGTGTAGAGTATTTGGGAGGATGTGATTATTAGCTCAACAGAGGAATTCAAGGAAGAAAAATGAGAAGTAAACGCTTCGAAATTTGTGTTTGATCAGTCAGTGAAGTGAAAAGCTGTCCAAATGCCAATGAAGTGTGTCGCTTTATTTCTCATCCCACCTAGTCACTCTTCAGACCCATTTTCGTAGATTATTAAACCTTACAGATTTGTAGGTAGATTAAGATCTCATAATGAATATCAATCAGGACCTTCAGACGACCTTCATACGAGCATAGACTTCCAACTGAGTTAACCGGGGGTTTCTGAATATTGATTCTTTCTGTCTGTACATTTTAACACCGACTGGAGTTTGGGCATTATATCTCTGCATTAACTCCTCAGTATGCTTAGAAAGCGTTCAAAAACTCAAGTTATTTGAATCAGTATATCTGCATAAATTGCACAGTATTTCTGTAAGTACAGAATTCGAACCTTGATTAAATGTAATTCAGTATTAGGTCAGTGCATTTTATTTAACACACACTGATGTTATATTAATTAACAATTAATTAACGTGATGAAGTTTCGAGGACAATTTATTGATACTAATCACATTATTACCACACCCTTTCTCTCGGAGGAACGCTGTTGACAAAAGAGAAAAAGAAAACATCTATTGACTCCATAATTGTGCCACTTTCTTTTATCTCATTTATTCAATTCACATATTTCCCATTATCTTCCTAGCAGGTTTCGAATTACCTCTCAGCTATGGATCTCTATGTTGACGTAGCCATACAGATGAATGGTTGTATCAGAAACCCTCATTTAAGAAATTTAGACTATCCCTGAAATTTTGAGAAGTTTAAATTCCTTTAGATATCTGAAGACCTACTATTTTCCTTGACACAAATTTTTATCCTTCTCCCCGAATGGATTCCTAAGAACTTCTCATCATTGACATTTGTAAAGCGTAAATTTTTTTCAACAAATTAGACATATTACTTATATTTGAACATACAGTAAAGTGCACGCCAATTTACATCAATTTACTATTCATTGGTGAATTATGCATGCAGTAAGATCAAAACATTCCGGAATAGCTGAGATTATTATCATCATAGATTTTTTGTGCAATTCAACTTTGAAGTATCTTAAGCTGAAACCCTCGAAATTGACTTCTTGTATTGACCAATGTGCCATTTAAATTCTTTTATTCTTCCGTCTTATTAAAATGAATCATTTTCAAAAGCTTGAAGTATTCACCTGAACAAAGTACACTACACGTTTCAAATTACACATCAAGACTAACTGACTACAATTTACTATAAAAAGAATTGAATCTCATGACTGAGTTAATTTTGACTACATAGTTGGTGATATGTAAGTTTTCTCAGTATTTGCATTGAACATTTTCGCTAATTATTGACGACACGATTTGTAGTGAACTGAAAACACTCATAAGATTATCTAAGAACGACTAATTAAACACATAGTCTAGATAACGTAGACACACAGTTCTTTTTTATGCACCGTGGAATTTTCTTGAATTTCTTGAATCAGCCAGTTGTGAAACTTTCTTCCATACATTTTCTATACTCTGATCTGAAGTGCCACTAAGATGAACGTATCACCAAGAGTACATTGAATTAATTCAAAGGTTTCAATCTTGATCTCGGTCAAATAATATTCATTTACTTTCTGTATCGAATTCTTTGATCTTAATGTGAATGCGTTTGCTTGGCATGGCTAGATAGTTGAGGACAATTGAGATGAAGCCTAGCCACTGGAATGTATTCACTTCATTTTTCGTCACGGTGATGGAACTGCAGATAAGTTCTACGTAGAAGAGAAGTAAAATAGTCCACTGAATATACCTCCATGTAAGCATCGTAGTTAATTTGCGAAAGTTTTCAAGTGAACGACATTACAGTAAGGTTTAACTTCAGGACTTTTCCAATTCAAAACTTTGATATTGAGGAAACTATCATATTAACCACATTTTACTCTTCAGCATCCACTGCAGGAAACGCCTTCTGTGATTTTATTCAGACAGAATACGCAAAGCAAGGAAAGCACTTTCAACACGGAAATAATGATTCAGACGATTTCCATGGGATTGAATTTGAAGCCGAAGGAAGACACATTTAAAGAATACATCACATTGGTAAGGACAATCTGGTTATTTATCTACACAAAAATCTACAATTAGGTCGGAATTGATGTGGCATATTTGATAGTCATCATGTTGGCAGTCATGATTATCATAGGCAGCATGTAAGATTGAAATTAATCATCCAATCTTATTCTCACATAGAACGGCTCTTCAAAAATTTTTCTATAAAAATATCGCCGTCACATTGGGAATTGTGTAAGTCAATTGTCTCAGTTTGTCATTGTCTCTTCTTATGGATATCGAGGCTGGTGATTATTCTTCTGTTTGATAAATTCCGATGCTTTTACATTGAAAGTGTATGCATCATATCCACAATATTTTTTTCATTTAGCGTATTTGCTGCCGCTCTGTTGGTCTTCACCTTTGCAGTCAAGAAAATTCAGGAAAACTTTTGGTATTCACATATTGCTTATGGACTAATCGTAAGTATTCTGTTTGGTTGTAGAATGCAGACACCATTAATACTTGGAATTATTGTGTTTTACACTTTGTATGTATAAAGTTTCACGTAGGAAGATGCGCTTAAACATGTTTATGTATGAGGTGACTATACGGTTTAAAAATGTATCATAGATGTACAATATCAAATGCTTTCTTTGAAATTTGTGGGAGGTTGCTCACATAGACTCAGGTACAGAACAGCTCTTGTTACATGTATGGTTTGTAGTTTTGACAATGATATAATACAATATGTAACTGTGAATGAAATGATTAGGCAGAACAATGTGATCAATAGTCATCCTCATATGACGACATTATTTAGAAGTTGCTTTCACATCATCGAGGTAGTTATCAAGAAACAGATGCCTCAACTAACTGTCTCCTATCTTTAAAAAGTTGAGATGTGTATGTGAAACATGTAGCTTTATCTGAAATCTGTAGATAAGCGACGAATATTGCGTCAGTTGGAAGCTTTGCTGAAATTGGAAATTAGAAATAATGCTCTGAAAATGACTGACAATGGTACACTACAGTTTACAGGTCACAATTTTATCTTCAATAATGTTTCACCAATGTCAAAAATCAGTAGCTGTAGACAGTCATCCATGTCAAAATGATTTCTTTTGAACTCAGACTGATACTGGAAAGCATTTTACCGATATTATTTGACAGACTTACTTTTACTTTATCCTCTGAACAAGAGAAACGATTAGAAGAATTTTAACATTGTCAGCTGTCGACAAGCTAATGTATCTGGGTGAGATCGTAAACAAACATCAATTATTGGATCTATGAAAGCTAAGGAGAACTTGATAGCTTGATTTGATACTCTGCAATAATGCACACTGTGAACCTTCAAGAAATGAGACAAGCACGTTTACCACTGCTTCGTTTGAACGCAATAAAACAACCTGACAAGCTTAAACACTGTCATTTTTATCAGCATACATAGTGTGACTACTAGAAAATGACATGGGGACTCCATCATGCAGTCACTAGTTAGTATCTGGAAGATTAACTTTCACATGTTGGTCTACAAAGACTTGACCGAATGACTTAAACAAACATTGTATCTACACATTGAGTTCTGTGAAATAAATCAGTAATATCTTAAGCGAGATAGCAACATGGAGAAATTACTGCCATTATTCTCTTCACGTTTATTGACGAAACAGTAGAATCTCATCGCAAAAAGCATGAATGTTATACAAGTAACTTAAACGAATTAGATTGTAAACATGTCAGACAGAAATGCTAACAAAAGCAGAGAAAAGCGTAGTGATGAAAGAGATGAACTTTGGTATTAGTAAAAAGGATTAAAACCTGAAGACATTATACCTGTGATTGAAACAGCACAAGAAGGACAAGACAAGCAATAAGCAGAATTGATACGCACACAATGTGCATTAACCTTTAAAATCAAAAAGTAGGGAAACTAAATGTAACGAATACGGAAATAAAAGCACTTTAAGACATAAAAGCTGAAAAATTCATTGTCATTACTCCAGCAGACAAAGGACTAAAGCACTAAATGTTAAGTCAAAATGGTTTGAAATTATGCCTTAATCATTGATATGCTTAAAATATATGCCAAGATAAAATTGCATAAAGAAGGATACCTAATGGGACCGATTGTAGACTTTAGAAAAGAACCAGTTTTTATGCTGTCAAGATTTCTCTCAACAATACTAAAACCGACAGAAAACAACTCAAAAGCTATAATAGTAGATTCATTTGAATTAGTGAGACGACTAAAATCCACTGAAATAGAGGAAGATGAAATACTAGTCAGCTTTGATGTAAACAGTCTTTATACTATAATACCCATTCAAATAGCAATGAATGCACCGAAAGCGAGACTAAAAGAATATAATGGCCTAAAAGACAGAACACAGTTATCCGTAGAAGAGATAATACAAGGCGTGGAATTCTGTCCGACAACAACATATTTTACATTTGAAGGGAAGATATACCAACGGGATGAAAGAATAGCCATTGGATCACCCATCTAACCAGTGACAGCTGACATGTTTATGGGTATTCGGGAAGAGAATACACTTAAATCATTCACGTCATCAATGTCAGTAATCATGAAAAAAACGATGTTGAGAAATTGTTCTAGCACATAAACAGTCATGTCGACTCAGTAAAATTCACTATGGAAATAAAGAATGAAATCAGGGAACTATTTCAGACTGCGAAGTACAAAGAATAACAGAGTGTACCGTGAAAACGACGCTATTTCGAAAAAGTGCACATTCTCGGAGATTCCTTGATTATCACTCAGCTCATCTACCCAAGGTAAAGCGAGAATTAATACAAGTTTTTGCAGAAAAAGACGTTGACATACATAAACATCAAACGACCAGCCTAGAGAAATAATCGTCTTATTCAAAATGCAACTCGACAACAACTACCCAAAAGAACTTATGCAAGATAATATAACGAGGAGAAAAATGAGGGTGAAACCACAGAATAACTAGAAGGAGGAAGGTGAAAATCGATCACAGTACCATACAAAATGGTGCATCAGAGGCATTTCGGAGAACCTCAAAATTATTGTGATTCGCACAACGTTTTAACCGACGAATCTAATTAAAATATGATAAATCAACTGAAACATCCCATTAAAATCATAGATAAAAATAACTCAATTTACAAACAGACATTTTGTGCCGATTGTCGGGCTAAATATGAGCGTGAAACATCCGGATCACTCAGATCGAGAGTGAATGAAAATTAACGCCTAAGTTAAGATCATTCAACAGGAACACAAGCTTGCAACAATACAAAAATAATTCATCTATAGCTGTGCATGCATGAGACAAAAACCACCATATTGATTCGAACAATGTGTGTATTCTAAAAACTAATATTAACAAAATAATTTCAACAGTGGTGTGAATACGGGCAGTAATTTTGCTCGAAATATTACTAAAAACAAAAACTTATTATTCTGCATAAATCAAGGAAATATGATTATACTTTCATTTGTTCGATTTCACAATGCTCAAAAGTTTTACTGACATTTAGACCAATCAGGTCATCTTCACTGCCACCACATTTCACTGACCGGAAGCTATCAATCCCTAATCATTTGATAATATCTGCATCACACACAGTGGTGCAACTTACTGGTTCTCATAGAACTTTATCCAGCAAACTTGGCAAGTGATGTCACTTATAGTCTCACTCAGTGCTCATTCAAACATGTAATGCAAATGGGTTGATAGTGGATTCCAGACTGGCGATATTCATATGACATAACAGAACAGGTGCACATAAAATTGTTTTGTATATTAATGAAACTCATCTTAATCCTAACACTGATAGTTACGTTTACTTCATTCCAATCGATTTTACAGGTGCTACTCATATCCATCGCATACTGTTGTGTTTTTCATGAATTCTTTGCCCTCAATATTTTTATAATTTTGAATGTGGCTCTAGCGCTAGCTGCTGCAGTCGTGTTAATCGCTGTCAATCTGAAACGCTTAGATTTAACAGCGTTTACGGCGGTCGTATTCCTCGCAGTGCTCATTGCATTCATAGGACTCCTATCCATGCTTCTCTCCGTTCTGCGTGTCCCATTCTCTGTGAGTTCTTATTGTATTCTTTATGTGCTTGAATGAGCATTTTGTTAATGTCAGATGAATATAAATGTATTGAGACTTTGTGGTCACACTAAATCCACAAAGGAAACAGTTGAGTTTGATGGAGCCGTCGAATTTTGTAATTTGTTAATCGTTTTGTGCTTAGCTCCTACGTGGTGATTATTGTTCCATCTTCTCTAAATAAAATTAAATGAGTGTGTGCAATACACTTAAGAATTCGACATGCGACTTGGTTTTTAGAAATTTCCATTAGACACAGAACATTGGCCCAGTTACTCAATGATAAATGTGCGCTATTCGTGAAGTTATTCCACTGAAAGTAGTCCATCATTTATCCTTATGCAAGACGTCGATTGCCAGTACTAGATCGACCATCGTATTTGACCTGGATAAACATAGGACGCTTTGAATTTATTCAGATAATTTGAGCACCTATTCAGAGTGAATCACTGATTTTCTATGCAATTTTATCGTGATTCAGTCAAACTGGACGTTGTGGAAATAGAATAATCTAGTTTTGATTTCCGAAATACCCTGAGATTATTTTAAATAATTTTCAGACATCAGTTAGCAGGGATTGAAGGGCTTCAAAATTAGTCAGATACTGACATCACTCAGAAAACCACTGAATATCAAGGAGTAGTAGAGATCTGATTACTTCTTAATTGGTACTACCCCGGATTTGACTTCAGGTAGTGTCATACTTGCTAGGCTCTAAACATTCCTAAACTAAGACAAACATGATGTGGTTCTCCAACTGGAGTCAGCTCTTGATCATCAATAAACTCAGTTAAATCCTTAGAAACCAATAGTAGTGTTTATGGACCATATATTTTCAATGTAGTCAGTATTTTGTCTTTTCATTTTCAAATAATTCTAGGAAGCTGTGAGCGAACTGTGTCTCTGTTTCGGTGCAATGTTTGTGAGTTCACTTGATGTTTTTACCTACTATCTATTTCATTGGTTGGTTTCTCTCCTCAAAAATCAAAATAAGTAACTCAGAGAAAACGTTTTTTCAACATTTTTGATATCACGCTATTCAGTAGTATATCAGTTATGAATGAAGTGAATAGTTAAACAACAAGTGACCATATATGGCATGTATTTTATGATAAGGTTCATGGAATTTAGAAACTATAGAAAAGGCTTTGTAGCATTAATATGATTCGTAGCCAACGAATACTTTACCCAAGGAAGCAAGAATTATCATAAGACAACACTTAAGATGATAACATTGAATTAAATAAATAAAGTTGACAAGTGAGATAATAACGGAAATTACTCATAATGGAAATAATACTCACTATCAAAGTTATAAGGAGTGGATAAAGAAATGGAATAAAAAAGAAAACAAATGGGCTATTTTAGGAAAAAAGATTATATTAGTTACCCATAGAATGATTCGGACCATGAAAAGAGTTGAATGAGCAAGGTTGTGAGACACTGATGACAATTAAATCGACTATCGCATAGTCATTGACCTCACATTGTGAACAATACCGCAAAGACATTTGTCGCAGTGAACGCTAGTACCTTGAAAATATTAGTGATGTTTATGATAAAATTCGGGATGGATGCCTGAATCCTAGAAGTTTTGTACATGAAAAATGTACAAAACTCCCTTGTTTACACCTACTGCTCCCATTTCAATGATTTATCGGATGCAGATATTTACCATCAGCAGATATTTCCCTTGAGCTTGTTATGTCTCCAGACAGAGTGACGTTGCTTTTTCATCTTGTTCAAGTCTCTTCAAACAAATTTAGTCACTTTAGAAGCATATGTATTAATACTCAGCAATGATTTTGGATACGATATACGGAACAACCTATGCACTTCATCTTTGAAGAGAATGGCGATTAGTAGAAATAACATGAAGTTTTACGCCTACTAGGTTTTCTGTTTTTCTAAGTGTTGATCAGTTAAGTGTCAAAATGTTACTAATCTCACCACTGGTATATAAAATGTTCTAGTGAAATGAACAAGCATCTTGTAATTTTAATGGCTTCTAGCTAGGGCATTGAAGTTTCGGTAGCAGTGTCTTTCATTTTTATGGGATTGCTTTGCCAGCCCCATGCCCAGCCTTCCTTCTTCACCAGTCTTAATACTGGCTTCGCGATGTGTAGGAGTGCACCTGCCGGGTACTGAACCCCGGACAACATGAGTGGTCGGTGAGCATACTACCGCTGTGCTATAAAAGGAGTCTATTTGCAACAGTAACCAGATTCATTGTATTTCTTCTGTGCAATCTTGATCATAATGTCGGATTGAGTCATTTGATTCTTGTTCGGAATCACTCAATTTTTTCATTTAAAAAACAAGACGCAGGTAGCCTCATTTGTCGTGATACACGAATGCAATTAATACAAACAATAATTATCATTGAAACAATTCGACTGAGTGGCGCTATTTTCGGTAATCAGCTTAAATACTAAGGTCTCATTCGTGATTTGCACATCAATTGAGTTTTATCCTATATCAGTCTTTTAGAAAGGGCTTAAAAATGGTGCTTTGACATGTTTTCCTATTTACAGGGTTTATTCCTTCTTGGAAACACAGTACGCTGCTGTGTGGGTAATGAACATCCATTCTGTTTTGTAATGAATCAAGCGTTCTTTTTCTGGATTTTCATTACTCTCTTATTCTCAGCAATTTACCTGTTGACATTACCTCCAAAAAAGGAGGCTGATAAGAAAAAGCCAGAAGAACGTGAGGTAACGCTTTTTAAAATGACTTTGAAGTGTTTCACTGATGTTTTTATGTATCGCATATATAATATGTGCGTTTGTTTGTGTTTTTATATCACTAATTAGGAAAGATTCTATCTGCAGCAGTTGTCATGGTGGAGCGTTGAACTTGCATAGAATAATAATCAAGTGAAACCAATTATTATTGGTGTTATTATGGTTGAAACACTAGGAAGAAATTGGTCAGGCTCAATCCGTTTGCCATGAAAAAGAATTCGGCCTGTAGTTTAGCTGCCACTGGAGGATAAATTTGCACTATTGTAGGATTGTTTACAACTATGATGAAGCTATGGCAATTTTGTGTCTGTCCTGGAAAGAAATATATCAAAAAATTCTGACTTTAAAAGCCAGACATTTCATCTTAAAGTAGAATGGTTCACATCCAGTGTCATGACAACTTGACACCCTTGAGTTTTTCTTTTGTTGTGAAATGAATCGGTAACAATTAAAAGAAAAACACAGTTAAATGTAAGAAGTTAATTGGTGGGTGGTGACTAGCAGTGGAATCCAGTATGCGCATTTCGTCCTATTTGGGACTTGCCATCTGGATGCACCTGCATTCCGCAGTGAACGATCATATTCTCACCGAGGTTCGACTTCAGTGTAAACCTGAGACCAAGCACATAGGTTCAATCGATTGACAGGAAAATCTAAAATTTAATTCAAAGTTAAATGTAATGTAAAATGTCATCAACAATGATTGTTTACAACATGATGCTAATGCTTGTTGTAACCGAACTCCCCTGGGATCGATAAACACGAACAAGTTTTATAAGATATATCTGCTTCATATTTTGTCTCATATCATGGACAAGTGGTAGCACAATTTCAACTTAGTTGCCGTGAAATTGCTAAATGGAAACCAGATAAATGCAAACGATTCTTTCGAACCAATTATCCAAAATGATATTCGCTCACTGGACATTTCAATGAAGACTGAAAATAAAGAATTCCAGGAACCAGAATGATCATATCCAGCTAAAAAAGAGAGGATGAATCAACTGCTTGGCTAGGTATTGAAGTACAGCTGGAAACTATCTTATTAAAACGCAACCATATAAGCGATGGAGACGTTGATGGGCAGTATCTCTGTTCTGTGCTCCAACAAGACTTTGAAGAGTAAAAAGAAACCAGAATACCCGTGCGACTTCAACAAAAGTCTCACTTCCTAGTGAAGCTTTATGATAAAATATGTCTAATAAAGTAGTGGGATCAAGACCATTAAGCAATTTTCGTGTTTGAGTCTGCTTCACAAATAGAACGAAACGGAATCACTAAAGATATATCAGTTTTTGTAGTTCCATTCTCAAACTCCAGTGTTTGTTGTGTTAAGTTCAATTATTATTCGCCACATATTCACTCAGCGTATTTTAAAAGAATATGTATAGATGGAAGTTCTTTTTCTTAATTTACAGACTGATGCTCACAATAAAAGTAAACAAGCATTATGCGTTAAGTGAAATTTTGAATTTTGCAAATCCATTCATAAACTCTGAATGTCATAGAAAAATAAAACATTACACGAATACATTGGCACACGTGAACTGTAAAGTCGATTACATTTCACTATTGTTTTCCATTTCATCTGATTTCACTGATATAACGTATGTGTTAATTACTTATATAAATGAAGATTCTCTATTGTAAATTATGTTATACATTTAATGAAATGGAAGAGATCGTGTTTGATTTCGTACAAAGTGTTGAAATGTCACAGTTAAAACCACGTGTATTTATAAGGGCTTATTCGATATGTGTTGTAGTTTCCGAAATATTGCTTTTCGTGCGATGAACCTTTCAGTCATTTGATAAATAAACACTGAATAGATGGAAATAAGTTGTAACTAGGTAAACGTAATTCTTAAGAGATCTGAGTAAAGCTTACACATAGAAAAGTGGAATGCTTCTGTCATACTCCCATTTGATGAGATTCCTCAGACCAGTAGATTAAGTCGCTAAATCGTCCAAACTAGACAAAGTTTTATCCATGTGCAAACAATGTGCTTTGAATGCAATCATTTATTAGACAAGTCAGTAGTTTTGAAGAATTAGTCGTTCACATAGAAATGTGAGATGACTATTAGTATTGTTATCACTACTTTAAAGTGCCATGAAGGATGAAACACTGTGTCTGATCTGCACCTTATTATGTGACATATTTAAAAATTAAATATCACCTTGGGTTTCAGGTATATTTCAATGATTCTTCACCGTAAAGTTTCGTTCTCTATTGTTACTCAGATGAAGAAAATTGACAAGTCGATGCTTAAAATGACAAAAATAAGAAGAAAGCTCTGTTAAAATCGTACGCGTACGTCAGACAGTATTTCAACGACATAACCAGTGTGACACCTGACACCGTAGGATACTCCTTAAATAAGAAATATACCAGTAGCATAGATAAGTGTGTTCACATGGTTAATTAATACACAGTCGTGCAATGGTTGTGAAGGTAAGCAGAAATGTCACAGGCAGGGTTGACATAATAATTGCCAATTAGAGTGCATCCAGTGACGCGGGTTCGAATCTCAGAAGGGACATTAGTTCCTTCAAGGTTGCAGATACGCCTTGCTGATGAGTGCCAACTAGCACGAAACCCAGGTCCAAGGCTTCCCGCCGATTGCCTTCAACCATCTAATAGCACTCAGATTCAGCATCACACCTCCATTCCACGTGGTAACCTACTATTATTTTCAACTGGACTCAATATTACCCACGTGCTTCGTTCCTCTACCACATTGTCGCCACCATGTGGCATTAGATGTCAAGCAGCTTGGCAGTTATTGGGGCTCCAGTTCAGTAACTTGCACATGGTGTATCTGGATGTCAGTTCATGTTACCTTTGGTGGTCTGACGAATACATTGTTTAATTATCAACAGATATGTCAGGTTATATCAAGATGTGTTTTCATTTTGAGAACCCTTCAAGTCCAATGAGTACTGGAAAACTGCTTCGTACTTGTTTACGATTCTCCATACGTAATCAAAATTTGGAAAACAAATCGATCTGTGAGAAGTGACTTTTCAGTTATATCCTCAACAACGCTTCAATTTAAATCAATAAATAGTTTCCAATGCAATTTGTAATTTATTAATTAAAATAGGCAAAATAATAATTAGTCAAGTTAGCAAATCAGAGGCAAGATGATTGAAAAAAGGAATCATTAAACGAAATGCCAGAAATGTTTCTCAAAAGCGATACAGGCTGTTGAAAAATGCATGGAGTATATGCTGAAGAACAGTTGATTCTCCAGTAATATTTACTGATTCGGGCACAATTTATTGCTTATGATCATATCAAGGTACTCACACAACTTTCTTGCTTCGTTTATATACATGCGTGAAAACTGATTAGACATATAAATACAGTCAATACAAGACAGGGGTGAAACAGAAAGGAAGATCAAGTACATTCGGAAACAATAAAAGTGTTATCAACAAAATACAGTAGAATAGAAAAAAACTACGTGTTGTTAATTTGAAAAAAAAGGGAAATAAGGTGTTTTCATAGTAAAATAAATAACTTGAGCATCTCGGTTTTATTTACTACTTGACGGATAGATGAATAGAATAAATTGAATAAAAGTCATCTAACCGAATGTTTGTAGTGATTTTCAGTGTCCCTCAAATTTATTCATCTAATAGGTGTTATATCTAACTCGACAATGCTTAGAATATTTTAGGAAAGAGGCAGGGAAAAACCGTCGGTCATTGTGGTTATCTCTGATTACTTGGACAATGATGATGTGAATTTACTTTTCCCTATCTGCGTTTGGCAAAGATTTACAAAATCTTTCCAATGTGAGAAGATTCGATAAGTTGTTCTTTGTTTGAAACTAGGATATGCTTTATGCACAAACCATTCGATTCTTCGATAGTGTTGTTGACAGTTTCGTGATATATATTTCTGAGTTATTGGAGTGATATTTTATTCATACACGGAGGTAACACTTAATCATCTATTTAAGATTATACGTTTCCAGGCCGTAGGTGTTACGAACTTCCTGAATAATTTGGGCGCCCAGTCAGATTGATTCATTATAAATTATTTAAATTAATCACAGCGTGTTAAGAAAACCAAAACAACATTTTTCTGAACGTTTAGCTGTGTAAGCCACAGCTTCTTCAGCAGATTTATTCGGATTTTATTAATCATCAAAATATACATATATATTTATAATTTATAATGAATCTATTAGAGAGCTAAACAATGTCTGCCAAACAGTATGGAGCGTTACCTCCAGGAAATGAAATAATTACGGCTAATTTCATGTTTGTTGACCCTGATAAAAGTGGTTTCAATTTACATCCGATACTATTCAAGAAAAATTTTGCGGTGTCTTTATATTTGTCTGTAGTTCGACGACCTGATGTCGATGTTCTTCCCATGTATTTCGTAGTTATTCTCTGTGAATTAATCGTTGCTTCAATGTACGTCTTCCAATTGGTTGCAGATGTGCTATTCAAAAGAACTAAGTGGAATATATGCTAAATTGTTGAGAATAATAATCTGCATTGATGATTTTCATGGAAAATGATGTTGGAATGAATAACACTGACACCTTCATGATTGGTGGATGTGGACAGAAGGTCTTCGTTGAACATCCATTGATTCGCAAGAACAGAGAATCGCGTATATACAAGTCAGGAAAATGTTTGATTCATAAGGGTGATCGTTTTACCACTCTCTACTATTGATATTTAGCACTATATTGTAATGATGTCAATTGAAAGATATTTATGCCAAAACTCCGCTTTTCATCTCTAACTAATGGGTTGATTTTATTGTTTACTTCGGCTATGTTATCAAGTTAACCAAACACTAGCAAGCGACTCAAGTATGCGTACTGTATTATATTTGGAACTATCTGATATAGTTATTTAACTGGAGGAAAAAACACGTGGATAAGAATGTTTTCTGTTGGATGTCATATTACTCAGATATCTGCACACTAAAAGCAGATTGTCAGTTGATTCATATTTAAAGAGTAAAAATTTCAGAAAAAATATCCAGCAAATAGCATCCGTTGAGCTGAAGTTGTGGCATGGCGTGGGACGGATGGCTGGTTTTCTACGGCCAGCCCCTGTCACTTGGAGGCATATGATGGCTTCCAATCATCCCTATAGGACTTACGGTTGCGGAGCTATGGCTTCTTTAATTTCAGGATTTATCCTCCTATTTTAGCGTTTCTTAGTGTGAACATGCTGTTTCATTTCATCCACGATGTTATCGGCAACGGGGTGCTGATAATGAAACCGAGGCTGACCGGCAGCTTAACCGGACTTCTACTGATATGACTGTGGCGACGGTATCAGTAGGAGATAACTTGGGTCGTCACACCGTTCCTGGCGTAGCTCCGTTGATAGTAGCAACGGGCATCAACCAAATTTGTCAAACCTCACAACCTACTGATACATTGGCGACGGTATCAGTGGGGGCTGGATTTAGTCGTCATCAATCCAACCCGATGAACCAAACGAATTCAAAAAATATCAATCCGGATCGGCCGTGGCCCGGATTAACAACGACCGCGCTCTCTGCTGCCGTGTCACAGGGCAGAAGTGATAAGTACACTACTGAGACACACCAGGCCGTGTGTGACCGGCCTCAAGCAGATGTCCCCTGGGCTCTGCCGTCACGCACCACTAACCTTTCTTCTATTTCAGGTACCCAAAGACTAAACTCAGGCGTGAGGCCAGCAACCCCACCCTGTAAACAAACCTGCTACGGAAACTTCAGCGTGAACAATCTCCTTGCGTCAAAAGAAAAAGTCTATCTGGGGACATGGAATGTCCGCACCATGTACGAGACTAGCAAAGCTGCCCAGATCGCAAGCGAAATGAGAAGATAAGGACTACAAGTATTGGTGATCTGCGAAAGCAGATGGAACGGAAACGGACTCACCAAATTGTCAACAGGTGAGTCCAGTGATTTACTCCGGTCACCCAGAAGACAACCACACACACACCGAGGGCGTGGCTATAATGATGTCACCAACGGCAACCAAGGCTCTGATACAGTGGGAGGCGAGCTCACCCAGAATAATGAGCGCCAGATTCAACTCCAAAGGAAGAAAAGTGTCAATTATACAATGCTATGCACCCACAAACAACGCAGACCTCGAAAAGAAAGAAGAATTCTACAGACAACTGCAGGCAGCAATAGACAATAATTCCAGCTGGTGACATTAAAATACTAATGGGAGACATGAACGCCAAACTTGGACCAGACAACACAGGAAGGGAACTCATCATGGGTAAAGAAGCTCTGGGAGAGATGAATGAAAATGGAGAACTCTTCGCCGACTTCTGCGCCTTCAATGAACTAGTGATTGCTGGCAGCGTATACAAACACAAGGATATCCACAAGGCTACATGGGTGTCACCAGATGGGCGAACCAACAACCAAATTGACTTCATCACAATCTCGAGGAAAGTGGCGGCGCAGCCTACTGGACAC